ATTGTGCAGAAATATAGAATTTAAGAGAATAGAGACCATCAAAACCCATAGACTCATGCCTTAGACTATCGTTTCGAAGGATGAAACATTCTGTTGCAATGCATCGGAAATCAAATATAAAAAGAGCAAATTATTTAAATCTTGTATATACGAAGAAAATGCGGATCTCGAAGAATCTCCCAAGGTTGCTGAATACTTTAATTTCGTATGGAAGTACATGATGAATAGATTTGTAGGTCTCACCAGAAGACTTTAAGCTTTTTCTCAAATTACTCAGTTATAACCGGTTGCGTGTATAGACATTAACAAACATACAGACAGACTCAAAGTAAGATAACTAACCGATTAGTGGCATCATTGTAGCAGTAGTTCTTAACCAAATCGAAAACAAACTCCCAGAATACATGAAGTGCAACCAGGCCGAGGGACGAAGTGACCAGATTGTTGGCTTCCTGAAAGAGCGCGTCAAAGTCGTCAAGCTCAAGATGTTCAGAAAGCATCTTGTGGCATACTCGATTAATCTCTATCATAGCTTCCAATTCCTGAGAAAAAAAAGACATTTACGGTAAAAATAGGAATACATTACTAAAAAGTTAAGTCACCCTGCAAATTGCATTTAATGTGTTGGATAAATATAGCAAATTTTTTTAGTAGCAATGGTGAACGGACAAGTAACGAAGTTTAATATATTATAAAATGCTACTTTCAACGTTGAATCGGTAGTATGCTCAATTAAATCTAAAGTGAGGTTATTACTTACCACGATTCCAGTCAGATCAGAGGAACGAAAGCGCTTAATAGCGTGATCTAAAGAGGAGAAAATCGCACGGTTCATGCGCTGGCAGATCAACCGACTGAGGTCAACAGTACGGCCAAGCAACTGTACATGTCGTTGGGACAGAAGAGCGGGTGCGTATCGGTTTGGTGGAGGAAAAGCCTCGCGCCAGCCAGCTCTAAGGGCCTCAGCGCGGAAGCGTTTGGCCAACACGACAGAGGCAGCAAATTGTTTGTAGTGACGAAATACCTGATGAGTCATGAAATAAGTGACAAACAAGGGGAGAAAGGATAGATATGGCATCATGATTGGCTTCTACAATATATTTAGTAAATCTTGATTATAGAGGTTCTTTGACCATTTTTACAACTTAGTCATATGGTCAGAGAGGCTTAGGTTAACACACTATGTCGGGATTCTCTGCCATAGTATCGAATGTAATTTCCAGCGCCGAATTTTGTAAAGTCAGGCCGACGATCGAGACCATCAATGCTACTATAATCGAAGTCTACGGACAAGATTTATTCATCTAATTAGCTCGGAAGATGACAATGACACTTCTTCTTGAGCTTCATACATTTGAATTCCTATTATAAATATAGAAAGCAAGCTATAAATGTCACACCAGCAACTCAGATCATAAAATACAAAAATCAACAAATTTATAAGTGTACATATGAATAGGAAAAATAAGACGAGCTTAAGCGGAATTCTTTTAAAGTATAATTCCAATCAAATGTGAACTGAGAAGATTTCGATAAGAGTTAACCAATAGGGATATCAATTGGATGCTAGACGAAACAGCTTCTTCAAGATCCTATTTTAATTACAAATTCGGTTTTTCGCGGGTTTAAAGAGGGAGGCGAAATAGGCCCCTGGCGCATCGCTTAGAGACCAAGATGAAGCCTTGCTGAATCTTCGTCCGTCGCGTGATGGAAATCTTCAGAACGGGACACCATTTTTTATGGTAATTGATCAAAATTCGAAGACGAGAAAGGTGATCTGCTACAAGCCGACCTATTTTTGAAAGCCTAACTTTTTCCACTTAATGAGATAGCTCATGATTTAGTTGGTTATTTTATGCTTTTCTCAAATGTTTGCTTAAAAGTAAAGTGTAGATGAGGCGTGAAGCGGAAGCTGCATCCTCTACCAAAACACTTGTATTTATGATCCTGCAATGTTGATGCATTCCATTGAATGTGTGCTGTGTGCATGCAGTGCTTTTAAATTGCGTGAAATGTAAAGGTAAAAACCATATTCGAGGCTAATAAAGCCTCCTCCTCTTGCTCCACCTCTCCACATATTCCTATCCAACAGACACAAACGGTTGAACAGAAAATTGGTCAATGGGATTGCTTTTACTTGTCATTTTAATGTTGGAAATCTCTGCTTACGATGGCGCCTCTCCCTGGCGATACCAAAGAAATGTTTGGGAATGTACCCAGCCAATGGTCCAATGCTGGAAATCACGAATACTATGGCAGAGGACACGGGACTAGGTACGTTCCACAAGGTCTCCGTGACGCTCCGAGCAAGTTGCGAAAACAAGGTCAAACCAACATAATAAAGCTAAAGGAGATGCGACCAAACAGAAGGCCACACCATCTTGGTCTTCATATCTACTAGCCACAAATAGTTCCCACTTATTTTTCTACACTCATTTATTCTATTGAGGGCGTTGGCTGTTTTGCTGATTTTTATAGCTAATTTTCCGCTTACTGGTTGATATAATCTCCATGTACAGCTAAGCGTGTTTCATTAGGCCCACAAACCTTTGTACTCTATTTTGTGATCCGACAACCTCTTATGCATCGCCTTCAGGCCTCTCCCATATAGGGACTACGACATGGGGACAAAATTTTGTAACACCCCCATCAGTATAAAGGACAGAATAATCCCGAAAGGAAGGCAATGTCGAGAAAAGTATTACGTTCTTATAAATTGTCCCGATGTCTCACTTCAGTAATCCGCCCATCTTTTTCGAGAGATTACACTATAGCAGCATAAGCACCCTAGTAGAGTGGTCTAGCCCTTTATCTATCCCCAATTATGTATTTCTTTCCATCCTATTTTACAATATTTTACATAATCAATCAGTCCTTGTGGATAATTGCTCTCAACCAGGATTCTGCCTAGTTTTCTCAATTTCTGTTATCGATGAGTAGCATCTGCCAGACACAGGCTCAATATTATAGTAGACTTAATAACTCATACTTTAATCCCATAA